CCTGCTGGTAGCTTCATGTTTGTTTGCAGCACCCTAAGATTGGTGTGCGTGCAGTAAACGACTGACTGGAACTGAAGCCTTCTCCATCAGTCATTACTGGTCTCTCACCTCTTAAGCTTATATGCCTTAAGTTCTAAATAAACACTAACAAAGACATGCTGGAGTTGGTTCTGTTATGAAAACTGACCATGCACATGTAACCAGTTTCCTCATCAGAAATGCACTGAATGCATGTAAATTGAGAAAATCAAGTCTTCTGGTGGTTTGTATAGAAGTTGCCTTCTGATACCACTTTTGATGGGAATTGCTGGTACTTATAGTTATATGAGTATATATACCTGTACAATGCTATTAACATAAATTTTAAATGCTAAGATTTGGGTACCAAACCAGTGTTTTTACTTGGTTTCAATGATGAATTATGGCTCTTCTTTAAAAGATGAAGGGGGGAAAAACCAGCATGGAAGGTATGCAAAAGAAGTATCAGCTTGTGGTTTTAGACACTGGAGGTGTAACAGTGTAGTACCCAAAACACATCTATTGTTACTGTGCTGAAATGGCCTTGAGTTTTAGCATTCCAGAACAGACCCACTGAGGTGAAAGTCATTTTTATTGTCACTTTTTGTAGTAGAACCATGCTGCAATGAAATTCAGAGTAATTCCTTTAAAACGTTCACTATCACGGTCAGTAGGTTTGAAGTTCCTGCTTTTAAAACAAATGCCATATGCTTTTATTTTTGTGAACAGAATGGAGGAAAAAGCAATGCCAGCAGTGCAGCACGTACGAGCAATCGTACAGTAACGAGTGTGTGAGTGCTTAGTGTTTGGGGACAAGGTGGGGAGGAGGGAGGTGTACGAAGTACTTTGGCTTCAACACTTGGAAATATGAAATATATCTATTCATTTTGATTTGACTGTTGCATGTGTACTGTGTTGTAAAACTTCTGTAATCGGGGTCTAGCAGGTACCATTGTCATAGTAACCAAACCTCAGTGACATCTGTAGCAAGACATTTGCCATTTGAAAGCTGTTTCTTATAGTGTCCTTTTTACAGGGAAAAAGATCAATCTGCCTGTTAGTACAATCTTAAGTTAAGGAAGCTCAGTTTTAAATGTAATTAAACGTGTGTTGCTGGAATGCTGTTTAGCAGAGCAAAAGCTTTTATTAGTATTCAAATAACTTTGCAAGAACACGAAATAGACTCCTGAAAAAGGTGTTCCGTTGGGAATGGCATCAAACCATATGAAGGTAGTTGACAGCCTTGGTGATGCCGTACTCTTACTGAATTTACTCTTCCATCTAGAAAGGCCTCTGTGTGTACTTGGTTGACCCTAAACTGGAATTAAAAGGGAGATAATTAGTCTTCTAGATCAATAACTTTTTCCTTTTCAGTGAAGTTTGTGCCAATCTGGTAGTGTTTATCTGTCTTTTCAGAAGCTGGCACAAACAAAACAACTCATTTATTGGTTTTAACAATACTGTATTGATCAGGTTGTTTGTGAATGCTTAATTTGCACACTTACACCCACCCACCCCATGCCCTGTAAGTTTAAGCTACACACTATCAACAGATGCTAGGACTTCAACCACTTAGTGATTATGGCTCGTCCCAGCGCTTTGCCGTAGACTTGTCATCTGCGTTAAGCTCATGCTAAGTTTTCAGATGTGAAAGAAAAATCCTAGTCGTGCTTTTAAGAAGAGTCAGTCTCATGTCCATAAAATTTATTTGAGACTGGAATAGCAAGTTGAGTACTAACTTCATTTGTTGGAGTTTCGCTCCTCTGATTTGAATTTGTTCATGCTGTGGCTGAGAGAACTCTGCGTTAAGCTCATGCTAAGTTTTCAGATGTGAAAGAAAAATCCTAGTCGTGCTTTTAAGAAGAGTCAGTCTCATGTCCATAAAATTTATTTGAGACTGGAATAGCAAGTTGAGTACTAACTTCATTTGTTGGAGTTTCACTCCTCTGATTTGAGGAGTGCATTTGTTCATGCTGTGGTTGAGAGAACTCTGCCTCTTGCTGTTTTGCTAATGTCCGTTTTCAGTCACTCAGGATGTGAAAATTTGCAGGTGTTACTTTATATAACTTACAATTATCAGTGTCATCTACTCTTTGAAGGAAATAACTCAGCTTCACGTTGCTTTTAATTACAATCTGGACATCGGGATAATGAAAATATGCTTGCTGCTTGGTGCTGCTTATTTATAGATCTTGTGTTCTGATGCTCTTAAAGTTTGGGTGTTTTTTCCAACGTGAGCTGGGAGTTTCCAAAAATACCGGATGTTCTAAGAGTCTTCAAATACTTGCTATTCTGTAAGACCAAGTATCAGTGTTCTTTTGTCTGTACCTGTGTTTTCTTTTGAATGTATTAAACTCAGCTGTCGGGAAGTTAAGTGTGTAGGTAGAGATGGCTGGTTTTGTTCTGTTTATTCCCTCTGCCTACCCAATGTTTTCTATGATCTTTGGTAGGAGTCTGTGGGTGCTCAGTGCTTCTGAAGACTGAGGTATGTTTAAGGCTTCTGGTTTTGATCTAAAAACCTATTTTGTTTTGCAAAACTGCTGGGTATTTATAGCTAAAATTATTCTTTGGGTGCGTGACCCATTTATGAATTTTCAAGTATGTTCATAGCATAGATCATTGTCTTTATCGCAGCTGTCTTCTAGGGCCTCAGTGGCTCACCTGGTGAGCAGGATGGGACGGAACTCGGGATGCATCATTCCGCTGTGGTAACTACAGCTAGGACTTGCACGTTGAAAACGCTTAACTTTTAAACCCTTAAAAGTGAAGAGCAGCTAGAAAGAGAGGTGTCATCACCCTCTTGCCTTTTGGTTCCCCGAGAACTAGCGGATGCTCTATTGACTACTACTTGACCTATTAAAAATTAATTTCTGAGGTATGGAACACAACATGTATTCCATTTTGTGTCTTTATGGGGTTTTTGTAGATGGCATCACATGTGGTCTATGCTAGGAGACCCCTGGAAGAAAGGGATGTGTTTCAACCTGAAATAATCAATATTCTTGATGTCTCTACTCCTGCTGATAACAGTAGCTTCTCCAGAGAGATGATAGGGCTTAGTTTTAAATCATGTCTCACTTCAATAAAAGACAAATCTGGTTAGACTACTGTCTCTTGTTGGTCTGCTCGCTCCCAGTGATATCTTTGGGATGTACAGATTCTTTGTACGTACTAGAAACCTCAAAACAAAAGCTACCTGCTTAACTGGTAAGGAAAGCCATGTCTTTTCCAAGTGGCTTTCCCGTATGAACTGCAGTAAGTCTTACAAGTGAGTTCTGGTACTGTGGGTATCAAAACAATTAATGACAAGGTTTCTTCTGCTTCTTCTGACACAAAGTAGCTGGGACATGTATGCATTATGCATTTACGAAGTGGCAAGCTTCGACTTTGCTTGCTTTCTTTTCTCAGAAAGAACAGTGCATTGTTATATTGAGCTTTTATGCAAAATTTAACGTAAAGGTTGATTTTCACAGTAGAATGGATCTGAAAGAGATCAGCTAAAAATCCAGGACACTTTTACTTTGAACTTTGTCTATTCAAATGTGAGTTTACCCAGTTTCTTCATCTGCTGCAGATTAGATAAGCCATTGTTGCTGCCTTGTGGTGCCATACACCGTGCTACTCATGGAGTGGCTGATGGTTTGTCACATCACTTGTTCACATACATTTCCCCATTGGACAGGGCCTAGTAACAGCCTCACCTGTATCCTGTTAGATTCAGTTTCTTAATCTGTGTAAGATGTATATCTGGCAGCAAGTTTTAAATGTTACCATACTGTAAAATGTGTAATAACACATAGGTGTGTTCAAGATAAAATTTGCACGAGTAATTCAAATTGTTTCTTATGTTGATATTTTGCAAGCAGACTTTATCTGCTGTGTTTGTATTTAATGTGAGAGAGGAAGAAGAAAAAAACCTGTAAATACAAGCAGTATGAAGTGCCTGGGGGGTGGGGGAGTTCCGGAGGTCAGCTGTGTAGCAGAATGTTAAGCAGGGTTGGGCTGTGTATTTTGACTGGCACGGAACGTAGGGGTGTTTCTTTTAAAAAGTGGCACTGGAGAAGCAGTGGGAAGCACAAGCCTGTGGATCTGCCAGGCAAGCAGTGGCAGAAGTTAATCTGTGACAATATTATAAGGTCTTGGCTGCAGCTGCTGTAAAATTTCTTGTCCCTTCAGAGTTCCAGAGAACCTCAGTCTTCCATTGCCAACAAGATTTTCCTGGGAGGAGCTTGCCCCTTTGCAGGCCATTTTCATGTTGGGTTGTTAGAGCCTAAAAGGTTTAACCTCATAAACTTGGTAAGCAATCCCCTCGTTTTGTGACAGTAAGGGTAAACTGATGTGGAGGATTGTAACTACGGGATTTTGTTTGTGTTGTGGGGTTTATCTTCCATTATAAGTGCTTAGACAAGAAGATTTATCCATCTGGAAAACAGTAGTGTGTTAATATTTCAAATACGGTGAAGATCAACTGTGTAGGAAGGAACTCTTCTAACAGGGGTGTTCTGTGATAACTTGGTCAGGACACTCATCTACCAAAACTGTGGTATCCGAGATGTGTGATGTACGTAAGTCTTAAGAATGCAGTATTAGACACTTAAAATCCTTAGTCTAGGGATAACTGTAACATTATTCATGAGTAACTTTACTTTTTTTGACCTGGAGTTCTGACAGTTAGCATAGATGTTTTAAGTCATGCTAAGAGATTATTCGCTGTAATAGAAGGAATGTTTTTATTGAGTGAATATGGAACTTGTCATCAAAAGAATAGGTATAGAGAGGGAGAAGGGTGCAGCTCTGCACATTACCCATTTCAGTGTATCAGTGGGAGATACAAGGGTTGACATTTTTAACGTTCTAGTGCAAACAGCTCTTTAACCCATTCCTTGCATTTCTGATACTTCTAGTAATTTTGCTGGTTTCCCTTAAAGAGTTCTAGTTTTACCTGATCCACTTGTTAATATTTTGACTGATGTGGTGTAGACATTCTTGAGCAGCTTCAATGCTGTGTTACCTTGTGAAGCATTTTCCCCAGCTTCACTACAGGTAAATGTAATTTGGAAACATTTGGGGCTGTTTGCTGATTTATCAGTCCTTGTTTACGTAATGTTACGTAGTTCCATAGTTCTGAGGATGGACGGTTTCTTGAGAAGAGCTTACTAAAAAAAAGCCACAATTAAGAATAGTCTTGCTTTGTAAGTGTGGTTGGAGGAAACAGGAAGTATCAATGTGGTAAATGAAATATCAGCATGTTGCAACATGTTAGTTCACTGTGGATGCACAGTGAGAATACACAGGACTGTTCTTTAAGTCCGGGAAAAATTGATCTGCTGTGTCTAAGTAGAGTTTAAATACAGGATCCTCTACTGTGTTGTATTTTGAAGGTAAGGGATGCCCTCATGTGGTCGAAATGAAAATTGAAATGCTGCTATTCAGAGTTTAAAAATGGAGAACTGTATGCTCTTCATTCAAGAGCTTGCTTGAATGAATATTCAAGGGGATCACATATCATAAAAATCACAGCCTTACCCTGGAATGTTGTGAGTGCACACAACTGGGCGCAAGTAAAATGGGTGTGTGGTTTTGTTTTGTTTTCCCCCCAAAACTTTGGAGGGCACCGAAGGATTAGGGCTGTGACCTCATTTGATATGGACTCTGATGTTCCTGCTGTTGTCTCACATAGGTGATGTGCAGTTCATAGACTATGAGTACTCTGGATACAACTACCTGGCTTATGATATTGGAAATCACTTCAATGAATTTGCAGGTAAAAATTGGAATTCTGAGGTAAACGCAAACTGGTTTTATTATTATTATTTTTTTAAACACCTCATTCTTGCACATTCTTTTTTCTCTGTATGTCTAGATACCTGTATATAGCTGTTCATCTGATGGTATCAGAGCGTGTTCGTGTCTCATCTTGTAGGCCAGTTATGCCTGCCCTTTGCAGCTCTGCTAACACAGAAAGGGGACATTGTGTCCTGAGTTTTGGCAGAGTTAGGTAGATACAGAACTCACAGCTTTCACAGCATCCTGTGAGATGGCACAGCAGACACCCCTCTGCAATGGAATATTGCAGATGTGTCTTTCACAGCATGGGTATATATTTGGAATACGCTGGGTGGCTCCACGGTTCCAAATGGCAGGCTTATGTGTGTTTTTGGTGGTTTTGAATGTGTGTGCAAAGTATTTGCCCTTGAGTCATGTCCTAAAATGAGAAGCAAGGGCTAAGACTGTGTGATAGAAAAAAAAAAAAGCTGGAATTTCAGGAATAAGGTGTTGGTTAACATTAATTAGTGCAATTTTTTTCCAGTGAATGCCCATTCTATTTACTCCATAAGAGAGAAGTAATCTTGTGTGCTGTATTATTTCAGAAGACGGGGCAACAATAAAAACCTACATAATGGTTGGTAAAGATGGAAAGCACAGTATGGTGAAATTAGGAGCCTAAATCTACCAGTCGTCTTTTCACAAACTGAATGTTGAGTCTAGATAACCTAAAAAAAAATCAGACTGTATACTTGTAATTTTAAATATTTAGAAAGCAAGTTAAATGCTTTACAAAATATATTTAAGAACTTTCAGTTTTGCATCTGGGACTTCTAAAAGTCTGACTATGCCTTATGGAGCTAAGTGCAGTAAGAAGATTAAACGCACAAATACAGGTGTGTTTTGCCTGTGAAGAGCAGTTGTGCTTCACCACTGCTATTCTCTATCCATCCAGGAAAAATCTGAATAAGACTTAAGGAGAATTCCCAAATCCTCTGGGAATGATAGCTAGAGCAAGTGAACTGTGGTCCAGGTTTGGGACTCCTGGCAGACACTATAGGGCCTGTGACTAAGCATCTCCAGTATAGAAAATAAAATAGGATGAAAAGAGTGGCTATGGAGATAAGGCTTCTAAAAGGCCAATACCCTGTGGAGAAGTAGACTTCTACATTTTCCCAAATACAGGCTTAATTGGTGACAATGCATCCTCATCTAGATTGAGCTTTGCATATTGTTGCATACAAGTCCCTTTTCATAGAATCATAGAAT